CAACCCCCAACCCCCACCCCCCACCCCCCAAACCCTAAACCCTAAACCCTAAACCCTAAACCCTAAACCCTGTATAAAAAGGGTTTACAGTGATTCCTTCAGCCTGCATGTCAGTGGGTGAGGGGACAGGGAGAGGGGGGGCGACGAAGCTGCTGCTAGAAAGCCCCAAAGTTTTGTCTGGGGTTAGGTCTGCATGCGTCAGCAGCAGCGTGTCTGCGTCTGCTGCTGTTGCTTCGAGAGTGTAACGCACGGAGCAACGCCCGCAGTGGTCTGAACATAAACATTGCTGCAGCAGCAGCAGCAGCAGCAGCAGCAGCAGCAGCGGGAGCAGTGAGAGCAGCAGCGGGAGCAGCAGCAGCAGCAGCAGCAGCAGGAGTGGGAGCAGCAGCAGCGGGAGCAGCAGAAAAAGAAGGAACAGAAAAGGAGATGGAATACAGCAGCAGAAACAGCAGCAAATAAAGCAGCAGCAGCAGCAGCAGCAGCAGCAGCAGCAGCAGCAGCAACAGCAATGGTGGAAGCAACAGCAGCAGCAGCAGCAGCAGCAGATAGCAGCAGAAGGGGAGACATATACAGAAGCTTTGCTGCTGCAGCAGCAGCAAAAACGTCTCCCAGCAGCAGCAACGGCAGTAGCAGCAGCAGCAGCAACAGCAGAAACAGCAACTGCAGCAGCAACCCTAAACCCTAAACCCTAAACCCTAAGTCCCTAGGCTATATATATCTCTTGCGGTGTATCCTCAAACCCTAAACCCTAAACCCTAAACCCTAAACCCTCACATCCCTAGAGACGAAGCTCTCCACATTGGAGCTGTCGATGGGCAGCAGACCCAACCTGAAACAAAACACAAACCCTAAACCCTAAACCCTAAACCCTAAACCCTAATTCCTAGCCTAAAGTGGTAAACCCTAAACCCTAAACCACAGTTATATAAACCCTCATCGACCCCTACAAGAAGCCCCTTATAGGTGAACTGTTTCACACAGACAAAACCCTTGCAATCCACAATCTAGGGTTTAGGGTTTAGGGTCTAGGGTTTAGGGTTTAGGGTTTAGGGTTTAGGGTTTAGTACCTGTGCACAATGTACTCATCATGCAGCACGCTGGTGTTCTCGAAGACAGTCACCAAATCTATCGCCAGAGTTGGAACCTCAGATATCTGGATTCATAAACAATAAACCCTAAACCCTAAACCCTAAACCCTAAACCCTAAACCCTAAACCCTAAACCCTAAAACTAAACCCTAAACCCTAAACCCTAAACCCTAAACCCTAAACCCTAAACCCTAAACCCTAAACCCTAAACAACCCTAAACCCTAAACCCTAAACCCTAAACCCTAAACCCTAAACCCTAAACCCTAAACCCTAAACCCTAAGCCCTAAACCCTAGAATCTGAACTCTAAACCCTTAACACTAAACCCTGAATTCCACCGTTTCAGCAGTTTCATGCAACTAGTCAATCCTAAACCCTAAACCCTAAAACCCTAAACCCTAAAACCCTAAACCCTAAACCCTAAACCCTAAACCCTAAACCCTCGTCTTACCATTACTCTTCTGAGAGCATTTGCAATGGAGACATCACAGTTACTAAGAGTGAAGCGAACCACTTTATTAGATAGCTCGGTAACCCTAATAGCTGCTTGTGCTAGCTGCTGCTGCTGCTGCTGCTGCTGCTGCTGCTGCTGCAGCAGATGCGGCTGCTGATTCAGCCGCTGCAGTGCAGCAGCAGGGCCCCCAATAGACCCACCAACAGAGCTGCTGTAGTCAGCAATGTTACTCATCCTTGCTGCTGCTGCTGCTGCTGCTGCTGCTGCTGTTGCTGCTGCTGCTGCTGCTGATGCTGTTGCTGCTGCTGCTGCTGTTGCTACTGCTGCTGCTGCTGCTGCTGTTGTTTGCTTACTCGCCCCCAAGCCATAACAACGCCGGTATTAACTGCAGCAGCAGCAGCAACTGCTGCTGCTGCTGCTGCTGCTGCAGCTGCTGCAGCTGCTGTTGCTGCTCGCTCCTCGAATGGAGCCCCAGGGGAGAACCAACTGTTGTTAGGGTTTAGGGTTTAGGGTTTAGGGTTTAGGGTTTAGGGTTTAGGGTTTTGTATACAGTCTGGGGTGTATGTACACCCTAGATCTTCCCTCGAGGGTTTAGCTGCAAATGGAAGGCCAAAGAGGGGCCCCAACAACCTCAGCATTAGGGTTTAGGGTTTAGGGTTTAGGGTTTAGGTTTCAGGGTTTAGGGTTTAGGGTTTAGGGTTTAGGGTTTAGAGGTTTATAAAAATTCCATCGAAGGCTTGCTGAAGAGTAAACCCCTTTAAAGGGCAGCCGACGCATGCAGCAGCAGCAGGCCCTGCTGCTGCTGCTGCTGCTGCTGCTGCAGCAGCAGCAGCAGCAGCTGCTGCTGCTGCTGCTGCTGCTGCTGCGTCTATGAAACTAACAGCAGCTAATTAAATAATAATTAAAATCAGTGCGTTTCAGGTGTATAGGCAGCTACAGCTTCTCCCCCTCCTCGCCGCCACCAGCAACCGATCCAAGCAGCAGGTGAGGTGTACAGACACCGCAACAATTTCCCTTGCTGCTGCTGCTGCTGCTGCTGCTGCTGCAGCAGCAGCAGCAACAGCAGCAGCAGCAGAAAGGGCAGCAGCAGCAGCAGCAGCACTCATCAGAACCGCTCGGTACCATGCCACCACATTGACCTGTGTGGCAACTGCAGCAGCAGCAGCAGCAGCAGCAGCAGCAGCAGCAGCAACGGCAGCAGCAGAAACACCAGCGACACCAGCAGAAACGGCAGCAGCAGCAACATGAGCAGCCGTAGCAGCAGCAGCAGCAACAACAGCAGCAACAGCAGCAGCAATAGCAGCAGCACTGGCAGCAACAGCAGCAGCAATAGCAGCAGAAATAGAAGCAGCAACA